TGGGGGCCTTATTTTCTTATTTTTTTTCTTGTTTGCATACAGGTTAACATGATCCCTGTTTCCGTCTGTGTGTGTTTTTGCCTGTTTTCTGAGAAAGCTGTGCCTTATTTTTATTTTCCCCCCTTACAAATTCCTCTGCCTAGAACCATGGATGATGAAGGGAAAAACTATGTCTCTGCTGAAGTATCAGATATCTTGGATTCTTTTCTGGATTTTGGGGGTAAACCCTCACCTATGGAGTCAACTGTGTTGCCTGTCACAGAGGAGCAGGAGGTGTGGAAGGGTTGGGGAATATGTCTTCTAATTATGGCTTTTTCCTCCCCCCTCCTCAATTTTTACATGTGGCAAATAAATTTTCAGTAAGAACATATCTTTTCCCTTTGCGTTGAAGATATGGTTCTTCTGTTTATTTCTTGTTATTTACAAATGGGTCATATCCAATAGCAATTTGATACTCTTGGCCTTGGCTTTTGGGAAAGAAGAATTTCAGTACTTAAGACTGTTTGGACCCCGTTTTTTTTCTGGCTAGCAAGCTAAAAAGCTTATAGGTCCTTGGTCCTTGCATGCTTGGGAATAAAAGTGTCTGGTACTATGTACATGTTTCTGAAGATTAAAAAATAACCATTCTTTAAAGGCTTCCTTTTTTTTAGAATAGTAGGATTTTCTGTGTTCTCAGGTGACTCATTTTGTATGTTCAGGCACAGAAAGCTCTGGAAAAGTCAGGTAAATTTGTCTGATAAGTGAACAAGTTGCCTAGGTGGAGATATCTGAGTTCTGAGAAAAGAAGGGTTGTGGGCATGGCTGTAAAAATCTCCCACTACTGTCGCTGCACCTAGATGGGGAGGGAGATCCATGTGCAACAGGAACAGGACAAGAGTCCAAGTTAGTAACCAGGAGCCATTTTGTGATTGCTGCTGTGAGAGATATGAGGAGATCAGTGACAGGATGGTAAAAAAGAAGTAACCTGAGGGCAGAAAGGTGTTGATCTATTAACTGAACATGCTCCTCACAAAATGGAAGTACAGAACTGCTAAGCAGCTCTTAAGCTGCATTTTCTAAGTTCAGTACACAGGGTGACCAGGAGGTGGAAGCAGTGCAGTTTAATCCTCCAACAACATGGTTTTTAAAAGTCATGGTGTTGGCTGGATTTACAGAAGAACCTTAATGGGGATGCTTGAAGGAAAAACACGTAACTTGAGGATGCTGGGTGGTCAAGAAACAGATGACAGCTTGAAGTTTATGTGGAAGGAGAAATGGAAGCAATAAGATAAATACTGTATCACAGGAGTATATGCCAATAAATGATTTTGAGGGTGTTCATTTCTAAAAGTGATGATAATAACATTCTTTTTTTCTTTATGAATAGGCGTATCAACCTTTGAAAGTCTTCTTGAGAGTAAGGCCCTTTTCTGTAGCAGAGCTTGAAAACAATGAATCTCAGGTCAGTTGTAGCATCAAGACCAATTATTCTTCTGCCCTGAAAAACTACTTGTAATGTAAAACGGGATTTTCACTTGTAAAAGGTGTGTTTACCACTTCCAAATCAAATTAGTGGGCACCTGGGTAAATGACTTTTAAAATTAAATCTTGCAGTAATGTACTTGATGTACACATACTTGCACATGCTCCCCCTACCTGTAGTTCTGCAAAACTACATTGGTACCTTCTTCAAAAGTTGGTGTTACCCTTGGCTCTGTGCCGTGCTCAAGTAACAAAGGGGCATCATGCAAGAGGTGATGCCCTTTGAGGCAGAATTCAGGTTTTTGACCCTTGAGTTCTTTTGCAATGTCTGAAGGGGTAAATGCCCCGTGCTGTCAGTTTTGGATAGATGCTTCAGTGTTTTGTGCATACATGCACACGCAAATCTCCCACTGTGATCCCTGATGAGTGATTTGTTTGTTTTTCCTCAGAATGCACGTCTGCTGCAGTGCATCTTCTCTCTATCAGTCCTGGTGTTGGAAGACCTCAGAGTCTTACTGATAAAATTTTTGCTGCTGACCCATTTGAAGAAGGATTTTAATATTGGTCTGATCTTTTAGCTGATTTGTTTTTCGAGGCTTGCTTAGCCTGTGGTGGATTTTTTTTTTTTCATATGTAGTTCTCGTCTTGCATTTAATCTACCAAAATTGGAGCATTTTTATTTTCTTCACCTGCATGCCTCTTCCAGAATCTGCCTTTCTTCAGGCTTTTGTTGTTCTGCAGTATGGCCTGACACAGTGTTTGCCATGCGGAGTCATTCTGCAATCTGAGGTGACTGCAAGAATAAACTGAGCTGCAAAATCAATGTTCTATAGGTTGCCGCTTTTCCCTTTCCCCTTTGGAAAGGGAGACTTCCAAATACCCTGAAATTAATCAAGCTACTTGTGCAGTCCTCAAATCAGGGAGTGTAAATGTTGTGGTTTCTTAAAATTAACTATAACTAATCCTCTTACTGTTCTTGCCTTCATGTAGTTGTTCGTAAAATAGTTGATCTTTCTACATGTTAATTCTGTCTTGAAAGCTGTATGAAGGATTTCCTTCTCAGCCTCCAAAAACTCTGAATCAGTCTGCAAGAAATTTCATCTTTGATGTTTTTCATTACAGAATATCTTAACTATCACTTGAATTTGTGAGAAAGGCACATGGTAACAGATTGAAAAAGCTTCTCACCTGTGTAATTGAGTTCTCAACTAAATTCTCTTGTTAATTTCTCAGGAAAACATCTTTCCTCCAAATACATAATACATTACAACCAAATTTTCATATATATATCTCTTAACTATCAGTTGAATTTGTGAGAAAGGCACATGGTAACAGATTGAAAAAGCTTCTCACCTGTGTAATTGAGTTCTCAACTAAATTCTCTTGTTAATTTCTCAGGAAAACATCTTTCCTCCAAATACATAATACATTACAACCAAATTTTCATATATATATCTATATATATCTATATATATAACTTTTTTTAGGATTATGCTTATTTTTATATACACACCCTTTTTTAGGTTGATTTGACATGCTCTGAGTTAACTCACCTGTTGTTGCTTACAGAGACAGCAACTTAAACAAGGCTTAAGGCCAAAGATTATTTTTTTTAGGTTTTCTACAACTGTCAGCCTTATCTGGAGAGTATAAGGGATTAGAACATGATGCAGGCAAAGCAAGCGTTTGGTCTGAGTTTAGTATCCACTCTTAAAGCTTCCAAACCAATTGATTAAGCTGCCTTCTTGAAACTGCCGGTAAAAGTGGTATTTGCTATGTGCATGGTGCATACAGATTACCAGCTCTGGGTGGCCTCTAAAACTCAAGATTTGCTAGCAGTTGATAGTGTTAGATACTTCAATTTTTTTTTCTATTGTTTTGGTAGTTCAGGTTTTACTTCTGGCATCCCCTCTGCTGTATCTTAACTAGTTAAGTGAATGCTAGGTAATTGTATCTAACTTAGTTGAGAAATGGTGATCAAATAAGACTTGAAACTAATTCGTGTATCTTCAATACTGATGCCATCTTGTGTCTGTCAAAAGATTGTGCTTCAGGTCAGTTTTATTTTGTTAATGCTCTTCATAACTTGTTTCCTGAAAATTATTCAAGCGGGGAAACTAATAAATTTCTACGTATCTTTCTTTAGTTATAGAGTACTGTAAGCCAGAATCATAATGTGCTAGTATTCAAAAAGTGTCTGTAAGGAATTTTAGAAAAATGCTAGACCTCTCAGAAAACTTCAAACAATGGCTTTAACTTTGAATTCTTTCTTGTGAAATTACTATCTCTGCAGTTGTTGTGTAGCTCCAGTAAATGCATGGAAACACTCTTTTTTCCTAGGAAGAAAGTTATCTTAAATAACATAGTGTGATGTTTTGTTTTACTTTGCCTTTTTTTAAGGGTTGTGTAACTATTGAAGATTCTCAGACAGTAACTCTTCATGCACCCAAAGAGTCTTCTGCAATGAAAAACAGTGAAAGAGGGATTGGCCATTCTGTCCACAGATTCATGTTTTCTCAGGCAAGTCTTTATCATAACTTTACTTAGGACTTTTTTCTTTCCACTGTAATGATTAAAAATTGATTTTTTTTTTCTAGTATGTCATACAAATGTGATCTTTCATCTTTGAATTATGTCTGGTACTTTTTGCCTTAAAAACAAAAATGCAGACTGCTGATTATTTACTTCTGGGTTGTTAAGGAAGCTGCATTACAATGGAGATGCCTGTTAGGTGAGACAAGGAAGCCTCTTGGAGTGTTCTGTTGTTTTTGATTAGACGCCACAGAAGTTTCATGAAAGCGCAGACTCGCTGTGGCACTGCTGTTTCTGCGTGACCTCATCTGGGAAGTGTTACATGAACTCAGATGCTCAAAGGACTCTCTGTGAGCATGTGCTTGGCGATGTAGTTCTTCACTGAAAGAACTAAACGCTTGCACATTTGACACTGGAAATATTTTTTTATAAGCTATTACCTATTGCAAAGCTGTTCTTCCAGTATCAAAAGATAAACTGCTCCATGCTTAGAGGGTCACTTAAACCATTGTAACTGCGGATCTTCTCTGCAACTGTGGATGAGTGTTACAGAGTTAAAAACATAGCTCTTGAAAATATCCCCTGAAAGGAATGTGTTCAATCACATTCTGAGCAGTTTGTTAGGAGCAGGGAGGTATTCAAGACTAAGTGCAAGGATGACTGCATCTCAGAATTAAGTAGGCATCCTATGGTAATCCAAAAGCAAACTTTGAATTAGAAGGAGTGCAGGCAAAAGGCAAAACTAAGCTGTTATCTCTTGCTCAGCTTGCTCTGAAAAACTGTACAGTATTATTCAGTGTTTAGTCCTATGATGTGTGTGTATACATACAGATGCATATATATGACTTTTTTAATACTCATTTTTTTCTTTCTCTGCTCTTTTTTTCTCACTCAAGGTTTTTGGACCAGAAACCACTCAAAGAGAATTTTTTGAAGGCTCAATGAGAGAAATAGTAAGAGCATATGTTAATGGAGCAAATGGACTTGTGTTTACCTACGGGGTTACAAATGCAGGCAAGACATTCACTATCCAAGGTATGAAATGCTTGCCAGAAAGCATATATAACAACCAAGTCAAAATCCATTGAGAAGTCATTGTCTAAATCTTACATTTTTATTGTCATTTTTAAGGGTCTTCAAAAGATCTTGGTATTCTGCCTCGCTCACTTGATGTAATATTTAATCATATAAAGGGGAGACAGTACTTGAAGATGAACTTTAAACCGTATTTGAGCAATGATGTTAAGAAACTGGAAGATGGACAAGTAAAACAAGAAGAAGCCATAAAAACTGCCATTCTTGCCTCGCTGAAAGAGGTCAGTGAGCAATACTCTACTACTTACCAAGTGGAGCTTCTTAAGCTGTTCCTTTCTAGCAATCAAATTAATCTTAATAAAACATTTGCCTAACTGTTTAAAGTCCTCAAGTTTTATCTTAATCTACAATATGCCTACTTTCTGAGCCTTGAAAAATAAGATAACTCCTCACCTCAGGTGAGCTCAGGGTAAATTGAAAGAGCTTTCTGCAGCCATCAGCACACAATTAAAAAGGCAAACAAAAAGATGCACTGAAAAAGCCAAAGCCTAAATTTCCATAGGGGAGCAGTTGTGATACTGATTTGATGCTATCCCTTGAAGAGAGCGAGACCTGTCTTAACCAAGGGAATCTTTTGAATGAGTTCCTCAGGCTGGATCTCTAGATGGTTGCGCAAATTCTAATACTGATTAAGTGGAGATGGTGACGTCTTTTTAGCAGAGAAGACAAAGTCTCTTGTGGTGGAAAAAAGCCTTAAATTACAGGCTCACAGACTTTTAAATTTGCCTTAGTTCCGTACAGATTTTTTTTCCCCTAATACATCAAGCAAATGGAGATGTCACCAAATTACTTTTCTAAAAAGGACTGCAGCCTGCTTCTGGGGATTGTATATATCTAATCAGTAATTCTAGTGTCCAGAGACTCCAGACAGAATAGAAGAATCTTTCCTTTAGCAGGCTTCTGTTTTCAGTATATCTAGTGTCAGGAAACACTCTATTGAATGTGTGACTCCAGCTGGAGTCCACTGTGATCCCAGTTGCAAATTGTCACAAGATGTCACCTTTTGTCCTTGTAGTCTGAGTGCTTTTATTCTAGTAAGCCAGAAGTGTGGGCACATGGGTTTAACCTAAAAATGCATTAGTTTCAGCTTATTATTCAAAGTAAGCCTGAATGATTCTGGGTAGTATAGAATTAATGATTGACTTTTTTTTTGTGTAATCTTTATTACCAGCATTCTTAAAGCAGTCAAAGTTGCTCTCAAAAAATATTCTTCTGCAATCAAAATTATATGTGAGGTTCTGCTCTAAATTCTATTACTTAATTTAAGGTGTGAGCTGAACTTCATTTATTCCGAATCTAGTTAATGTTTTTGAGGAGAGGCCTCAGATGGAAAATGTAAGAATTTAAAGGTTGCATGTTTCTTTTCTGAGTGTCTAAAGCTTGCATGTGCTCTGCATGTGCATATAAGGGTAGGAATCATGAAGAAAAAAGAGTCAGTCAAGAGAGGCAGTGGGTAAATATTTTTAGATCCCTCAAGAAACCTATATGCTTTTAGGAAAGAAAGTAGCAGCTCAAGGTACAGGTGGTCAAACACTTTATTTTGAGTGTAACTCTTATTTCACACTTTCTTCTGTTAAATAACTGGCTTGATTAATAGTTCAGTTACTGAATGTTACAGTAAATGGTCTGATGCTGTACAGTGAAGAGCAAGCAAGCCTCAGTGTCAGGAAGGAAAACTAAAACGCATATAGGAAGTGATGTGGGACGAACTTGCCTATTTCGTCTGTGCTGATGCTTGCAGCATCTGTTCTGTGATGCTTCATGTCAATAGCTCAGCCATCGCCAGCACTGAAGCTGTGGTTCTTCATGGCTTGTGAATAGCAACACTGTTCTAATGCTCCTTTAAGCTTGTAATTTGAGAGTGGATAAGGCTTCATGGGATGGCTTTTGATTTGCATGGATTTCTGTAGGCCTTTTTCCCAGGCTCAACTTACATGGTGTTCAGAATGAATCCACTGTTTCTTTTGTTCTCTCAGCATAAATAGTTCTAAATTACTGCAGTTTTTAATATTCTTTAATATTCTACTCTTCATGTTCACTTTCAAGGACTGCTGCAAGAGCTTGTCGTGCATACTTCACATCTTCCCTTTTACTAGTTCTTTTTACTGGATTAAACAATTCTTTTTTTTCTCCTGGATTAAAAGCTGCTTTACTTGCAGTGCAATTCCCACCTGTCCTCTCTTATTCCCTGTCGATTGTCAGCTTCTGCCTCTGGCAAACAATGTCAGTTTTTGTTCCCATTTGTTTTTAGAGACTTGTCTTAGTGGTATTTTTCTATATTAAGTCTCATGATTTGAAGACTAGTAGAGTGACATACCTAATTCACTCAGTTTTGTTGAAATCTCTTTAGAATTACTTAATCTCTATCATGCACACAAGTATTTGTGGAATTGTTTTTATACTCCATTTTTGACATACCTGAGTCCCATACCCTGCTTTATAATTGTGCTCAGTGCTTGACAAACAGGACTAATAAAAGTCCCTGCTAGTGGTGTTGCTTGTAACCACTCTAGCAACATAAATAATTGAATATATTGCCAGTGCCTGTCTCTGCAAAATGGACACTTTTTAAAAAGAATGGCTATGAAATCTCATGTGATTTGCATCTAAAATGCAACAGCTGACTTCTGCTTATGAAAACTCAATTTTGGATATTGCAAGTGAGTAATTTAGGCTTACTAGGAATTGCCTAGTGCTGCCCATCTGCATTATAGTAGATGGAGTGTCATATCTGAGACTTACTGCTCTCTGAACATCTGACCTCTGCTGTACTGTAGGGTGACTCCCTCTCAGGATTTTTTTTTTGTTATTTTTTAGAAATAAAGGTGAATGTCCTAACAAAAGTATACACTGGTGTATACAAAAGGGGATGGGGTGAGAGAGGAAGGTAGTAGCTGAAGATGCAGGGGGTTTTTAAATAATTTTGTTGATGTAACAGAGTTCACGGAAGGACTGTGCTCAACAAAACTGTGCTGTTGTCCATACAGGACCTCTTATGGCTTCTTCATTGGATCATAGGTATTGGCTTATCAGATCTTTAAGTACTTTGTAAAACAATCATTTTTCTTTGAGCTCTTCAAATAAGTTTGACTCACCCTGACAAGCCTGGCATGAGCCTATAATTTTTCAAAAAGTTATTTGTTCCAGGCAAGCAAATAAGAAATCTGATGCATTAGTCTCTTCTTCAACCTCTCCATCTTCCCCCTCCCCACTAGCCATCTGCCTCTGGAAGGCTCTTACTGCTCCAGCTCATCTAGTTTGTTGAAATACTGTTCAGATTTATGTAGTAGTTGATAAAGGTACTTTGGAACTTATGGTCAGGTAGAGGGTCTATTTCCTTGTTTCTCCCTGAACTGTAAAGCAGGTCTCATGTTAGCAGCAATTAGCCTCCAAGACAGACCGCTAGGAGGAGCAGGGGGCAAAAATTCCTGCGAGGAAGGAGCCTTTGTGGAATTTAGGTTCATTTCACTTGGAGCAGAAGTAAGGCTGGCTTAATATTTAATGTTACTTGAATATTTAACTCTTGAATACTGGAGTTACTGTCATGTTTTATTTTTCTTCTGCTGTTCTCATAGTCTGTTCATCTGGGTGTAACAGCCTCTTATTTTCTTAAGGATGCAGAAAGCCTCCTGAATACTATTACAGATGTGTCCAATTTGGAATCGGCTTCATCCACTTTGAAAAGGCTGCCTTCTGATTCTCTAGGTAAAAAGTGGAAAAATTCCAACACAAATATGAATAGAAATTCTGGAATTTAGGAATAGAAGTGGGTAACCCTAGTAGCAGATTTTAAAATTGCTATAGTATACACAAAGTGCAAGATAAGCTTGCTTTAAAAAAATATTTAAAGTGGTTAAACTTGGGAGAGAGAAAGAATGTAAGAAATATTTGATGTCTTTTGTGCCTTTTTGGGGGAACAGGGAGGTTTAGCTCTGCAAGGCTAATGGGCAAGCTGTAGAAGCTTGTGTGGGAGGAGGAGGGAATGGTTAAGAACTTCCTCTTGTGAATATTCTGGTTATGGATGGCTGTTGGCAAATACAACCTGTCTTCCATAAACTTGGAAGTTATGAGTACAGTGCATCTCTTGTGCAACACATGTATACTAGCCTACCCTTTTAAAGGGTTCTGCACACTGCTTTAGTATCAGAGTTTCTTGAATAAGATAAGGTTTATCAATAAGATGTTTGATCATTGAGCTCTTCTCTTTTGGTTATCAGAAACAAAGGGTGTTCCACTTGATGTATATAGGACATATATACCCCAAAGAATGCAAGCATCTGTGTGGATTTCCTTTTATGAAATTTATAATGAATATGTGTATGACCTACTAAATGTACTGTCTACATCAAAAAATCAGAAACGCAGAGTCTTAAGAATTTGTGAGGATCAAGGAGGAAATTCTTATGTTAAAGGTAATACTGCTCTATGACTTGGGTGGTTTCATAGGATTTTTACTGGTGATCAGAAGTGTCTGTAAAAGGTCTCTTTTCACAGACTTAAAGTGGATTAACATTCAGAGCACCGAAGAAGCCTGCAAAATACTAAAGATAGGAAACAAGAACCGAAGCTTTGCATGTACTAGAATGAATGAGCAATCAAGTAGGAGGTTTGTTCCTCTAATTCTGTGCATACTCTGCCTTTCAATGGGGAGAAGGGGGCAGGAGAAAGGGGGGGGGGGAAGGGGGAAGATTTTAGAGCATCCTCTACAATGAGCAACTCCTCAATTTAAGGATTGTCTTAGTTTTCTTCCAGAAAGGAAATTTCTTAATAAAACTGGACTGATCAAGGTGGTTGTGAAGAGACTGGACAACTGTAACAGTAGCTGGAGTTCTGTTGCAGTTCCTGGCTTTGCACAACTAAGAACAGTCACAACACAGCTCCATTTTGGAGTGCCCCCATGGCTGCAGGGCCTGGCAAACACTAATGGAGCTGAGTGGCAAAGGCTGTGCAAGGGAGTAGCAAGAAAACCTGAACAATTCTAACTGCTGCCTTGGCAGGAAGGAAATCTAGAGTTTAGGCAATCTAAAGCCTGTCAGTAGGGATACAGGAAGCTGCAAGTCTTGCATTTTGTATTCCTTCTAATAATTTGTCCTTTAATGTGTGGGGGTGTCATGTTGTTTTTTTTAGTTAATACAATCACACTGTTAAGGTTGCTCTGAAAAGGTAATACAGAAGGGTATGACTCCTGCTAAGGCAGCTGCCATTACATTTCATGTTATGCTTCCTCCTGAATTTCACTCAAGTATCAAGCATTGCAGAAAGGAAATCTGTGCTTTTCTGGTGGAATTTCATGCCTAGAATATTTTTACTTTTGCTCCAGAACCACTTCACTTCTAAATTGTATTTTTTTATAAACTTCATTTGATTAAATTTGGCTTAGTGCTGTCAGCTAAAGCCCTGCTTTAAAACTATACTTGAAAACTATATCTTCTCCAGTATGTACTATATGGTTTACTGGATAAACTGAGGACAGAGCACTTTTATTTTTGGAAGTTTCTATTTGGTTTAATACAGCAAATGTCAATTCTTTTGTCCTTATAGCTTGGTGGTTAAAACAGAGCAACTATGTCTTAAGTAATAAAAATGCAGCCTGAAAACCTGAAAAATGTAAGAACGAAACATTTAAATGTGTGCAAGTTCTAGGCATAATTACAGCTTCTAGATTTCATGTGTTTTTTTTATTATTATTTTTTTCTTCTGTATAAAAAGAAACGAAGTTGCAAAGCATAACTCTTATTAATGGCTGGATGAATGCAAAGGTAACTAATGTAAACTAGTTAATGAATTGCTGTTAATTTTTCAGCAGTGAACTTTCTGTAGCCTACAAATTTTACTTTGCTTCAGTGACTGCTTAGTTTTCATAATTCTAGTCATTAACAAGGACCTCTTTGCATTCCAGTCACAGCATATTTTCAATCAGGCTACTGAAGTTAACTGATGAGCATCAGCCACGTGTTCTTGGAGTCTCAGAGTAAGTTAATGCTTTAGTTAATTGACAAAAGCTTTAGAAAAGTTGCTAAGACATAAACATACCAAGCTGGTGGGCTTTCTTTTAATAGACAATTCCTCTGAGAAGGAAGTCAGAAGTGCACTAGCTACATAAAGCTGACAGTAAACTTAATAGGCATGAGTAGAAGTGTTTTCCTACTCTTTCTGTTAAAGTTTGATTGAAAGAACCTTGTTAGTAATTTGTAATTTGGGGGAATGCATGTATATAGTCTTAAATGATCAGAGAAGGCTCTGGGACAAAGCAGTGCTATGTAGTGCCACCCTATTTGGTTAAGTGGAGGCCAAATGACTGTCTGACAGAAGCTCAGCTCTAAAGCCAGAGTGCAGCAGCTAGTGCTGAAGATCTTGTGTGGATGCTAGGCCAGGACCAAGAGTGTCTTTGTGCTTTGGGACCAGATTTTAGTTAGTTTATGGTTGAATGTTTGAGTCTGTTTGGTGTGCACCTGGAACACAGTTTCTAGCTGATATGCTCTGAGACTTCCTGGTGCTGCAATGAGTAGCACAGTAAAAGGCACCATCAAAAGATTTGCTTCAAAACTGCTCTTCTGACCCGAAATGCTGATGTGGGTGCTCCCTGAGAGCAGTGCTAAGTCCGTGCTGTTCCCTGGTCCCTTCTGATTTACAAGAAGTTACTTAATGATTTGGCCTGAAGCTGTCATAGCCCTCAGGGTGTTTTTGTGTATATTATTTTCTTTTTCTGATTAATCCATCATTTATCTTGAGATGGGGTAATGACTTCAGCTTTGATTCAGTATGTTTTAGTTCAGTCACAAAAGACAAATCTGAAGGAATTATATCTGTGGAGTAGAGCTGATGATAAATAAGCACCTCACAGTGAGATAATGGCTTTTAATGTCAGACATAAAGTGATAAATACTCAAAATCTGAGGAAGTGACTGCTGCTGTGTTCTCTGCCATTCCCTTTCCCATGTATTCCACTGGCAGAGCCAGCAGCAGCTGCTAATTGTAAGACAGAAAATTTGGATGTTGATCAAAAAAGGAAAAGCTCTTCATCTTGTTTTGAAAAGGATTGAGATCATATGATCATATCCTTTCACTTAGTTGAAATCATGCATTACTAGTATATATTAATATATACTTTTCAACTATGTGAAAGGATATGATCATATGTGCATGTTCTATATAAATCATATTTATAAGTATGTATAGGTACGTAATAGATTATGTAAGCTAACTAATTTCCGAAACTTCTTGTTTTTTTTTTTTTTTTTCCCCTCAAGAGCTCAGTTTATATTGAAAGCCAAGAATTCCCATTATTATTTGGGATAGTTTTCTCTGATCATAGTTAGAAAGTCTTGAGTAGCAATTCAGTGTCCTGAATTTAATAGCATGTAATTGCTGCAGCCAAATAAAGAGCTATAAGCTATAAGAGCTTAACTTCTGGCCCTGTACTGAAGTATATCATCTTCTGGCATTTGTTTCACTGCTGAAACTAATGAAGGTGAAAGTCAAAGTGCTTTTGTAGTGTAGCACAACTGAGCACAACTGTGTTGGAAATTCTTTTTGTCTTGGAACTGGTTAGCACTTGGGGTTGCATTAGAAGTTAAGTTCTTGACCCCTGCAGGGTTTTAGATGAAGTCTGAGCAGACTTCTTCAAATGCGCTAAACTGTTGTAGGAACCACAAATCTTCTCAAGAATAAACATGTGGGGAAAATTTTGTGTGTTGATATTCTAAACACTTTGCATAATGCTTCAGAACAAAACTTCAACATTGAAGTGTAACTTCTTACATGATCTAGGTAGACTTGAAATGAGTCACTTGTTTATGCTTTAGACTTAGACACGCAGTTCCATTTTTCTTTTTTCATGTTGTTTAGAAACAGTTTGCATCAATTCTGTTTGATTCTTTCATGCAGGCTGTCCTTCTGTGACTTGGCTGGGTCAGAGAGGTGTAATAAAACACAAGCCTTTGGAGACAGGCTAAAAGAAGCAGGGAATATTAATAATTCTCTTCATATCCTTGGAAAATGTATTGCAGCATTGAAGCAGAATCAAAATCCAAAGTAAGTAACTAGTCTCAAACAGCACGCTTAACCTCCTAGCCTAAAACCTTGTAGTACGTTGTTTTTCTGGACAAAATTTACAAGATGAGAGGAATGAAAATGCAAATCTATAAAATCTTATTGGCCTTCATTGCAGATATCAGTTGAATACCTGAAGTGAACATTCTTACTCTTACTGTTTGTGGAGAATGTGGAAGGGTAAATTGAAAACAATGGAGAGCTTCAGCAAAGCATTTAAAAACCACATGTATTCAGAGATGGGGCAATGACCTTGGTCTTTGGAACAGTTTAGGCTTGAATGTGAGAATCCTCCGATAGATTAAGCCTCCTTCTTCAAAGACACAAAGAGGACTAAGCAGACTTATGTTATCAGAGACCTTTCATATTTTTTTTGTTGGAATTCTATTATTCTTTTCTCTCTGAGGATGAAGCCAAGCTATATTCCATTCAGAGAAAGCAAGTTGACTCGCCTCTTTCAGCCCTTCTTCTGTGGGAAGGGCAAAGCTTGCATGATTGTGAACATTAATCAGCGGGCGTCCACCTACGATGAAACACTGCATGTCATGAAGTTTTCAGCTGTAGCCAAACAGGTAGGTGAGAATCTTCTTTTCCTGCAGCTCTGCCTTCTGTTCCTAGAGACTTGGGAAGTGATTGCGTTGTGAGGACTTCAGTCATGGGAGCTTATGATGTGTCGCGTTAATTTTTCAGCATGTAGCTGTTTCTCCCTTTCGGTCTTTCTCCACCTCAAGCTTATTTCTTAGTGGTAAGATGAGATAGCCGCAGCTGTCTGTGGCTTGCTAAATTCTATACCACAGAGGATTTTTTTTTTTTTTTTTTTTTTTTTTTTTTTTTAAAAAAAAACTTTCAGATATGACTGGTTATACTATAGATTTTAGCAAATGCAAGGTCTTGGTGTCTGAAGTGGTGTGCACTTGGATATGTTTGATGAAGCTCAAAACTTGGACAATTAGCAGTGCTACCAAGAAGTGGCCTTTTTTCTTATTTTGCAGTCTATACAAGATCTCTTGTGCTAAAGAGATTGTGTGAATGATCTCCTACGCTTTTCTTATTTGGCTAGGTGCAAGTTACTAATACCAAGCAAAAAGTAGTAGTTTTGTGTAAGGAAAGGTTTGAAGGTAGTGTGCTCCTCTGCTTCAGAGCTTTTATGCAAAAAGTAGCTCTGCTACATCTACATTTTTCTGTGCCTCCTGCAACCAGTCTCCCTTCAAGCTCATGATTTGGGAGTGATGTCTGATCTTAACCTTTTTCAGTTTCTCTGGAATCTACTGCTTGGAAAAGCTAACTTAGTGGGGTGGAGGGGAGAGGTGAAGCTGGTGTGCTTACCAGCATAAATGTCCATTTCTAATTGAAAATTGTGGATTCACTCTAAAACTTTTCAAGTCTGTAATGACATGTCTAATCTCAGAAGTAGCTTTTTTTTTTTTATTATTATTTATTTATTTTTTTTTTTAACCATCGCTAGCTGCAAATTCCATCATAAGAGCATGCAAGCTTCTCTGATTTGTTTTATGGCAAACTTTAAAATCCTCACTTACTAGAGTGACTTGCTGGGTCCTTGTCCTACCATTTTAGGGAGCAAATGTTTTAAACTGAGAACAGGTCTTTTCCACTGATCTTTCAGGAAACTACACCAAAACCTGGCCCTGCCTATCTGTAGGGGAGATAGCAGCTTTCTAGATGTCCATATTAATTTTGTCAGTGTGCATTCTTTCTAGCTACCCTGCTGTTGTTATATCGATAGCAATAGATTTTTGTTTGCTAAAGGCAGATTGAGTTTTGTTAACATTCTTGAAATCATTAAACAAAGTGTAAATACAACAGTACCTTCACACCACTTCTTCCTGTGTCAGAAGTACTGACAGCACCGATAACAAACCAGAGACGACCACATGGATTTGTGGGGTTTGTTTATTTTTTCAGGTAATCCAGACAATCCTACCCCAAAGTTTTGGCTACTTTGCCCCCAGGCTGATGGGAAATGATGGCAAACCTATCATGAACTTTGATGTTAACACCTCTGTAGAAGATCTCCCTGGCAGTACTGACCCCTCTGAGGACGAGGAAGTGGACATCACCATTCTGAGCCATGAGGTAGGTAGCATCTACACAACTGCACGCAGGAGAGTCCCTGGTATTGGCTCTTATATTAGGAACCTCTACTATCAGATGTTCTGTAAGCTCTCCCATGAAATCGGTAAACTTCTATTTGTTGTTAGAGCCAGACTTAGCAGCTTAGCTGTGAAGGAGCAAATGTAATTCTGGGAGGCCTTTTTCAGCTTGTAGTCACATGGGGTGCTGAAACCTGGACTTGGCTCCTTGCTCAACAAGAAACATAAGGAAGCAGTAAGTCTGTTCAAGGCACAACATTACCTAGCTGCTCACAGTCTAGGGATCTTGGGGACAAGTGTGGCATTTTAAAAACAAATGTATACAATCTAATGGCAATGAACAGTAAAAAGTCAAGTAGGCTTCCTGCTAAATGGTTTTACAAATTAATATTTAAATACCAAAATGTATCAACATGTAACAAATTGGCAACACTTTTTGATAGCAGAAACCATCAAGATTGGAAAAGAAAAAAAAAAAGGGATCTTAGCAGGAAAAAAAAAAAAGTTTGACTATACTTAACCTTTCATCCTTCCACACCTTGAAAACATGGGTTTGTAGAAATGCTCTATGAATGTCCTTATTGATCAATTGCTTGTATAGATCCATCTCATTTGTTGTGCATATGGAACTCCCTTTTCTGGCTTGTGTTCTGATGGGACATATTTTAAATTCAGGATCTCTTGAAAACTACTGAGAGCCTAAAGGAAAAGCTAGTTGCAGAAAGGCGAAGCAAACTTCTTCTGGAGGTGACGATCCGTAGGGAGATGGCGGAAGCGATGTTCCGGCAACTGCTGGAAACGGAGGAAACCTGGAGGTAAGCTGGCAAGCCTGGACAAGACGGCAGGATTCCATATGCGCACACACATGTATATATGTGTGCATGTGGCACGAGGAATCACACTATTTAGAGAAGTTAGGGTTGGCTGGTTTTGAAGAGTCTGCAATCAGCCTCTTCCCACACGCAGTAAAAGCAGTGATGTTTGTGTTGTGTTTTGTTCCATTGCTGGTCTGAAGTTACTTGGAGGTTCTCTTGAACTTTCTTGCTGACAAGATGCAAAAAGCTCTGGGTGCTGCTCTGAGGTTGTAGTTATTCTAAAACACATACTTGGGCAGGTGAATGAGTGTGCATGTGCTTCAGGTAGGTGCAGTTGCATGTCTTCCAGCTGTCCTGCTGGCTTCTTGGTCCTAGGTGACTTAAATCCTTATTATTTGATTGTCTAAATTGTTGTGGCTCTGTGCATTGATGTTGCTAATTTAAGGATTTTTATCAAGTGTGTCCAGATTCCTCTAGCTGAATTTGCTTGTTCTTAATTTTCCTCTTAGAAATCACTTTCCTGTTTGACTTGGTGCACAGAGATTGAGGCAAAGTTAACTTGCCAGCTGAACACCCCATCATCTAACACTTGCCTGAGCCTAAAATTATTCGTGTGCCTCTGGTAAAGAGCACCTGAAATAACCTCTGATGTTTCTCTGTAATGTTCTGTGTCTAGGCTAGGGATACTTTAAAAATTATAGCAGAATTATTGCATGTGTTTTTTATAACTTGAAATAATCAGGCAAGGTGAATTTTGTGTGTATGTTTAATTAAAATTATTTTTTAAAAAGTATGAAATAAGCTTGAACTATTAGGTCAAGCAGGTATAGTCATACCTACCATTACTTGTTGGTGGGCTATTTTTAAAATAAGACTTCATTTGATAGCTCTCCTAAGACATAATACAAATCCTATAGCTTAAAATTTAGAGGCTTTAGCAGTCCTGGTATCACTCCTGGATGACTGTTATCCACGCAAGCACTCATATGCCATCAGTGTGCCCATGGAATGGGAGCATGGCTAGAGATCCTGCTCATGCTCTAGCTGAAACTGAAGCAAGGACTGCACTTAGACATTTCAGGGTGAGCTTGCTTTTGAAGAAAGTTAAGAAATGGCTGGCCTTAGTTCCTGGGGAGAGTTTCTGTGCCCTTCTGTGATAAGGGCCCTTCTGCAGGCCAGGGAGTCAATAGAGGAACATAATGTGGTAAGACCATCTTAAAGTTTCTTAGGTGCCAGCTTCCTGCTTGTTTGGCTGCTTGTGTCCCATTGACCTAAACTTGGTATTTTTGCATCTATAAAATAGGAATATTAAAGTTCAGTATAAAGTCAGAATTCATACACTTGGTTTGTGAAGTGCTTGGATTATGTAGTATCAGTCCAGGCAAGTGCCTAGGACCTTTTTACTTGAATAAATGTATCTTTATTATGGCTGTTAACATCAGCCTTGTTTGGAGTCCGAGTTTGCCATGAGAGCTCTAGCTGCACTTAGCAGGTGAATTTCTAAGGTGTCCTCTTCTATGTGAAGAGAAGCAATATCTCAGTGCAGTTCTGTAGGATTGAGAACAGAAAGGGGAGAAGTGTGTTGCTTGCTACCTAAACTTCCCTGCCAATGATCAGATCTGAGAACTTGGATATTGCCAGGAGGGTGTGTGTCAAACACCTGGAATACTAATGCACTAAAAACTTACGTGTCCTCCTCAGCAACCGCTTGGAAGATATGAAAGACAGTTTTGAAGAAAAACTAGAGAGCAAGTTTGAAATGTATAAAGAAGCCATCAAGAAACACGCATATATGTGTGCAATGGAACAAATCGAAGATCATTATGTTCCCATAGAAGAATTTCTAGCCGAGCAAAGGAAAGTTGAGGTATGATACGACTACTGCTGTATGTATGAGGTATGATACAACTACTGCTGTAACTATTCCAAGAGTGAAATGTGCTACAAAACAGAGGCAAGACTTGAATTATTCCTGCAATGAACCTTTTGCTTTAGGCCTCTGTGTAAGGGATTCTCACCCTGCTGCCAGCAGCTACTCTAAGTAGCAGGGTCTGAGTTTCTATGAGATCTGCTGCCGTGGGGTCTCGCTGGCTTCTGAGACTCCCAGTGCACACAAAGCTAGCTTGTAGCTCTCACACCAGTGAAAATGCCTCCTTAAGCAACAGCTTCAGGTGGGAATAGCTCCAGATGCACTTCAGAAAGCTGTGGAAAACCTCCTTTGAAATCTTGAGCCTTGTTGGGTTGTTTGTAACTCCCCCAGGCTTGCCCCCTCCTGCGTGGAGGGCTGACTGCTCCAGCCAAAGGACCAGACTTGTGGGTCCTTGTTGAGGCCCTGCTCCAACGGGAGAGCAGAGCCACATGGGGAAGGGGCGAGCAGCTTCCTTGGTGCTCCGGGCCCTGCTGAGGGGCTGCGGCCTCGGCCGGAGGGGAGGGCAGCTCTGCAGCATGTGCTGGCACCTCCTGCACCTGCTGTTAGGGCTCTGTGCAGGTGCTGGCAGGCAGTGCTGCAGCGGCGTGCGGCCTCTCTCCCTGTTCCTTCACACCCATCTTTTTAGTGCAAACTCTGTGTTTTTGCACATACATTGCTGTACTATTCAGATGCTGCATATCTGAGTTTCCATCAAAATATTCACTAGATATTAACTCCTAAGGAGGACTCCTTAACAGTTTTAATGAGCCTTTAAATCATTCCTCTGGCTTCTGTTGGATGACTTTTCAGCAGGGGGCCTTTTGCATAAGCAGAATTTGTAGCCAATGAGTCTCCCCACTGGAGGGGCAGGAGAGATTTTGGCCTCTGATTGCTTTCTGATAAATTAGTCTGAGATCATTTGTAAGTCTTAATCCTAACTTCTATCTAGGCAATTCTGGATCTCATGCTTAGACAACTTATCCTTATTATTTTTCTTTAATCCTTACTGTACTGTAGAACATAGGGATGGTGTTATTCATCTAGAGCATAATCATAGCCCAGTCTGGTTATGACTTTAGCAAATTGGCTTAGAGGGCAACCAAATTCACTCAGACATCCGCCTGTGAACCTGTGTGTTACCCTTTGCTGAGGGATTTTTCTTTCTTAGAAGTAAACTGAGATAAGCTGGGCTGCTCTCACAAGGCAGACTTAGCACATCCTTGCTGTTTGTTAGGTCAGAGAGGGCCCCTAGATTCTCTGCTTGGCCATCTCTTATTGAGGCTCTTTCTCCATCCACTTCAGAGTGGAATCAGGGAGAGAGGAGGAGGGTGAAGGGCATTTGATTTCTAGTACAGATCACCTAGATCTTGCCCCTTTAGACTCAGCTTTTATGGTCACTTAAACTCCCAACATATCACTTGGTGTTCGCTTAAAAATGTTTTAAACAGTATTCTGTCTAGCTATAGTCTCTCTAGTCCCTCTAGCTACATGGCTGCTGCTTGCTCAGCCTCACAGCCAGTGCAGTGGAAAACTCGAGCAGGATGGAATTGGGTAGCAGGTTAGGCAAGGAGCTGAAGTGCTGCAGCTGTAGAGTCCCAGGTTGAGGAAGGGGAGCACTGCATGAGCCACGTGCTTCAGAGCCAGGTATGCAGCTGTTGTTGGTCCTGAGTCCTGGCTGATCTCTGGGCTATCACACTAACAGTCTGCTGGTGCCAGACAACAGTGAGGAGATGAACATTGGGCTCAGTGAGGTGTATTTGGCTTTACCAAACTAACTGGCTGTGGTGTTTGGCGCACTAAAGCTTCATTTGTGCACTAGGGCAGCTTTTGAAGCACTCTGGAAAACTTCAGGCTGGAGGAGTTGACTACTGTCCTCTGAGAGGAGCTCATGATCTGAGTGACACTCTTTACTGTAACTTCTCAACTCCAACCAGCATAACTTCCCCTTTAAATTATTTGAGAACATGTGATACAGGTGATGTACGGGTGAAAAAAAAATGCAGTCAAGGAAAGGAGATGCACTTGAGACATTTTACCCTGTACCCTTCTTTTTTCAGGAGAGAGAGAATAAAATAATTCAACTGGAGAGGCAACTTGATGAACAGACAGGGAGACTGTTGGCTCTGGAAAGCCCAAGTTCAGATACACCTACTACAGAAAGTCCCAGGGAATTGGGTAGGAATCTGCTCTGGACGTTAACCCTTCATTCACTCTGGGTGCTGCATATAAACAAGATTTTTTTGTTGTTGTTGTTGTTGCCTGTAGATCTTATGAACAGGAAGATGAAGAGGGCTGATGAAGAACTGCAGAAGCAGTGCAAGGAGAAGGAAGAGGTAGCTCTGCTTGGCATCAATCTGGGGCTAGTGGTCCTGGCCTCCTGCATGGCCAGCGCTTGAAGATCTGACCTTTAGACATGAGTATCAACACTCCTGCAAGGGCAGCAAGTTTATGAAAGAGCCCTTGTCCAGCTGCAGCCTCTTGGCATGAGTATGGCTGTGCTCTGCCTTTGCTCTAGTGTAGAAAGGCAGGCGCTGCTGTAGTTGGTTGCATGGTGACTACAGTGGGAGTTGGGGGAAGGAGAAGATCCATCTGCTCACCAGAATGTTGCTGCTGTTAGAGCCTTGGTGCTCCCCTGCCTGGCACGCTGCCTGCCTAGGCACCAGGGAGCAGGATGACAGTTCAGGAATCTGATAACAACTTGGATCTAGATCCAAAACAGTGCCTTACGCCTGTCCTTGCTGCTAGTGCTGAACTCCCCTCCCCCTTAAACTTTAGTAGTAGGGAATCTCTCATTCCTTTCAAAGAAAAGGTCTTTGGTCTGCATAGCATGTAGAGGTGGAAATCACAAGCTTCAGAATGCTACAGAAAAGAATATTAATCACTTCTGGGTATGCATTTTTTTCTACACCTTGAACAACCTTAGTGTTAGCGTGCAGTTTCTCGTGCTTAAAGAGGATGGGGAGGAGGCAAGAGACTCGAGTCATGTTCTGTCACTGCCCAGAGTCACTCCTAGTGCAAAGCAGGAGTAGGAGATGGAGAAGCAGTCCCAGTTGGTTCTAATAAACTCTGTAAGTGGAAAGTGAGCACAAAGCCTTTTCTATTGAAAAGAAATGTACTCCGCAAATATCTTCCTTACCAAGTGTAATGTCTCATTTTATGGCCCTGGCATTTGTTTTTGACTCCTGCTGTCCAGAGCTCTACCACAACTTCCAGTTTCCAAGTTTTGATGCTAGAGAGCAAGCTTGGCTTTCCCACTTAGCGCACTGGGCAGACCCATGAGCTTCAGCACAGTGGCCCTTGAATGTACCACAACGTTATCTTTGACCAGAAATGATGGGCCAGGACACGGGGGTTTGAAAGAAGCAGGTTGAATCTCAGCTGCTTTGGTCTCCATTTGTTCTGTTCAGTACTAATCACTCAGAAATGCTTATTGTGTTTGTATGAGTTTTGATTCTGAACAAAACTCGTAAAATATCCTGTCTTGAACTTCAGTGTGTGTGGGGGGTTTATTTTCAGCTTATAAAGTCTCTGAAGTTTAAAATACAGAAACTAAATGAAGCCCTGCTGGAAGCTAATGAAGGCTACAGGAAGATGGCAGAGGAGACCAGCAGACTGAAGCACATGGTCATGCTTAAGGTTGGTCAGCTCTTTAAAGGAGACTTTTTTAATGTGGCTTGTGTTTACAGTTTTATATGCACACTTCTATATGTAAAAGCACTGCTCAGGCTTATTCACAGCTTTAAATATGACCATAATGTGTTAACTTGTTGTTCTTGGGCTTTTTCTTCTCCATCCCTAATTCCTTAAACTGAGTCAGATTTCACAAACCTTGTGTCTCACTCCTTGACTCTTTCAAGACAAGCTCCCCTTGATTTAAGGAACAGACGCAGTGAATTAAATAACTTTGTGGCATCTTTTGCAAGAGTTTACAGCACAACTTAGGCAAGCACAGAAAATACTCTTCAGAGCTCTTCTAGAAAAGTCCCTGAGCCATGAGGCGCCCTCCAGCACAAGAGGCAGCGCGGCAGCCCCGCCGCCGCAGCGGGAGCCCTGCGCTCCAGGCAGGGAATGGGCTCCCCCGTCGCAGCGGGGCTGCCTGCAGGCTCCGAGCCCCCGCGCAGGACGGGGCATTTCTGAACTCCTGCCGCCCCTGCAGCCTGCCTGTGAAACGAGGCAGGCCTAAAGCTGCAGATAACGCCGAGCGTTAAATTGCGTTCTGCATGTTTTAGCTCAAGTCTGAGGCAGCAAATCATTCATCTTGAACTTCCAGAGTCTTGGAACCAATTAAAATGAGTCCTTTTTAATCACAAAAAATAGAATTTTGTTTATAGAATCTCTTGAAGAGTCTGCCCCCTTGAAGCATTTATTCAGTCCTTTCTAGTAGAATTACAGCTATGATATGGCATTTGATTTGATCAATTTTTGCTTTCAGTAAGTAGCTTGCAGTTTAAGGAAGAAAGGCTGCTTTTATTTGGTTCTTAGAATAACTGAAGTTCTTTACATGGGATGGCAAGTGTTCGTGTCAGCTGCTCCTGTCAGACTTTGCCTCTAACTAGAACTGATGTCCCCTCAGTTTGCTCTAGTCTGAGTTTAAAAAAAAAAAAAAAAAAAAAAAAGTGTGGAGCACTGAAGAGCCATTTGGAGTAGTAATAGCTGAGGTATTCACTGGAATGGTTAAATCTTAGAAACAGTAACCTGTGTCTACGGCAAGGACTTTCTAGAGCTGCCCTCCCTAAAGCGTCTTGTCTCACAGGACCAAGAAATGAGTGACCTGCAGACCTGGGCTAAACGCGCGTTTGAGCTCGAGGAAACGGTGTCCTCCCTGCAGCGAGAGCTTGACGAGCGCAAGAGGCCCCTGTGCCTGGAAGATGCCAAGCAGCAGAAGCCCAAGAGAGGCTTGTTGGCCAACCTGAAATCCACAGTGGCTGCCTCGGCCGGGGCCTCGCTGGGGAAGGGCTGGGGGAGGCGGGAAGACTCCCCAGCCCCTGCCAGGAGGCAGGGGCTGCCGCCCAAAGCAAGAGAGAAACGAGGATGGGCCTGGCTCGGGCTCGGGAGCTGCTGCTCGCTGTGAGGTAGGTGCCGCGTGCTAGGAGCGTCCTTAACACAGCCCCGAGGCACAGCCGGGGAGCGCTTACAGACCTAAACTCTGGTTTTAAAATTGAGGTGAGGATGTGTTTTTAACTGCTATCATGGATTTCTGCATTGATAAATGTGTGACTTATGTGAACAGCCATGTTCCTCATCTGCTGCTCTTCATGTTTTTATATTAAATGCCCATTTCTGTGGGGGGTTTTTAGAATCAGGTGGCTTGGAAGCTTTACCTCGGGTACTTCAAATAGGTTGTTTCTTTAATAATAGTCAGGCTTTGACTTAAACTGCCATCTTGAGATCAAACTGAGGCAATTCTTAAAAGGTGTCAGAAGGAAGCAATGTGAAGCTAGGGCTTGTAGCTCGGTGCTAGTTTTTCAGCCAACTTTTGTATGGAACCTGTTTTAATATTGCTTGAAGCTTCACTAAGAATGTGCTTGAATTTTTAAATATCTAGTTATAATAAAACTTTCTGTCACTAGATTATGTTCTCTTTATTTGATGAAGGTGAGAAAAATCACTGGAAAGTAAGCTAAGGAAAGATGCCCAAGTTAGAGGCTAAACCGTCCCATGGTGAGTGAGGGTTGATTTTTTTGGTTCCATAATTGTGGCTCTGCTTACGGCAGTGTTAGGCGCACGGCTGGGGGAGGTGAGGAGGAGGAGCGCGGTGTGAGCGGCGCTCTGGGCGGCACAGGAGCCCCCGGCCCTCCTCCCTGCTCTGCCCTTGGCTGTGGCCCTCTAACCCGGCTGCAGAGCAGGGCCTGAGCCAGGCAGAGCTGCCTGTCTGAGCTGCCTCTGCCTCCAGGGCTTCAAAAGCCCTTTAATCCCTATCACTGAATTCCTGAAATATTCCCCTCCTCTCACAGAGAGTATTCCAGCTTTTGCAAACACTTTTGTTGTAGTGATACAAGGCAGTGAGCGCTGATCTCTTGACTTGGTTATCAAACCCACCTTGCTCGAGGGAAAACTGAAGCATTTAATCAGCACAGGCTTGGGGCTGCTTGGGATGCACGCCACTTCCCTGCCCTGAGGGCCTGCACACATTTATGTAGCACTCGAAGCACAACCTTGTTCACAGAGCACCTGCCCTTAGTCTGCACCCTCCTCCTTCCCCCTGCTCCCTGGTTAGCAGCCAGAGGGGCAGACAAGGTGAGTGTTTGAGATGCCCCTCCTTAAACTGAAAGGGAGCCTGTGCCGAAGGGCACAGCCCTAACTGTGCCCTCTGCCAAGTGCTGCAGGGGCCAGCGTGACCCTGAGGAAGGATGTGAAGCTGTTCAAAGGGCAGCTGAGGACAGAGTCCTCCTCCCTTCCTGCCCTCTAAGCAACACAATCAACCTCAGGGCAAGAGGCAGAAAGAGCTGCCTCAGTCCCTTTCCACTTCTCCAAACTGACTCAATGT